ACTTAACCTATGATGCTTCATGAGCTTGAAAATCTATAGCCCATTGCAATGTGCTTTTGGCTATATGTTTCAACTAAAAACAACCTATTATATACTATTTGGTTGCATTTCATTGAAAGTATCCACGGCCGGCTGACGGCTGGCTGCCCACAGTTTGCCACGGCTGTGGGCGGCTGTGGCTGTGGAGCCACGGCTGCGGGGCGGCTAGGCTGTGGAAAATTGCAGCCGTGCAGAACTCTACTACCGACCCCAAGGTCATCGTCTGTGTTATCGAACCCACTTAATGACCCTGTTCATGTCTTTGTACCGGATTAAGACTTTCATTGTCCATCTGACCGACAAGACATGGTATCTGAGTCCGTGGCTGGTGCCTGACAGGGACTTGGTACTTACCATGGCGGAAATCGTGCGTCGCCAGTTCAAGGCATCGGAACTGACTCAACTCTTGAGGCCTATATTCAGAATATTTTCCCGAGTTCCCCTTGTCCGCACATATCTACCACCGGCATCCTGCAGCCGGACAGACAATGCCGACAGTCACATTCTGTCACCGTCACGTCTGTTCATATGTCACTGTCACCTCTGTCATTGTCGCCTCTGTCACTGCCTCGGATGGTTCCTTGCAGCGACGGTGTCCACTGCTACATCAGTGCTTGACCTGTGGCCAAATCCTGCATCCCGCCATCATACATACAGCCGGTAGCTGCAGTCATGTGATAGGTTGGAACTGGCGCATGATTCCATGGAGCCGCAGGCTCGCGAGATTCTCGGAATCGCTGAGGGGGCTGACCGTTCAAAGGCTTTGTCTCTTTGTCATAGGCTGAAGTCGTTTGAAATCTCGAACAATACGTTAAAATATGAAGTTCGAGCATAGATTCATGTTATCTATGGTTAGAGTAATGGTACAAGTTCGTATCAGGAAGCCTTTTGTCATTTTCACGCTCATCTGAAATGGTAAATCGTAAGATATGCGATGTTTGCTGAGAACTCCTACGATATAATACTTCACCTGCATTATCCAACGCATCAGAAGACGTGGCGAGGTATACATTCCAACTTCGCCATCCTCACCTTGATTTATAGAACCAACAACAATCAAAGCCTAACTTCCTCCGCTGGGACGTAATTCAGCTCCATGATGTCGTGACATTTCACGGGCACCATTATGTAAACTTCGACCTTCTCAGAGTCTTCTGCAATCTGGACAAAGTGAACTTTTGGGCGACTAGCTGTGTACGCCGCATTGCAGTGTCATCGGCTCGGACATGAGATTGCCGAGGTCGATGGGCTTTCTCTGGGGACGCTCGGAAGTTCGCCGAGTAGCTATTGTACCTTCTCGAGATTGGATAGCTTGAAACAGCGGTGAGAGCTGCTGCCTGTGCATAGTGAGTGAGACGAACTTGGGACAATGGAAGGGTTTCGGAGGCGTTGTCTCGCACGCCTGCGGAGACGCCCATGAACTTGGGTAATACGCTCTGTCTGAACATGGATTTCATGGATTTATAATCACGAAGCTGGCTTCAGTCTAAACTCATTGTAAATTTAACCACATTACTGTTATTCCATCAGGCTTCATTATGGTCTGTTGAACTCGGTTCTGTATAGATCGGTTTAGCACGGGGCGAGCCTCACGATTGGTTTATCTGGTAACTCGTCTCTCACTTGGTGTAATCGGGTTAGTCCGGCCCCTCTGCAGTGGCTCTGGGCTCGAGATTGTGCCTCAGGCGCTTAGCTCCCCACTCAACTCATCCAATCTTTCTTCGTCAGCACTGGCGGGAGGATCGAGCCCTGAGCCAGTCCTTACTGGATTTAAGTTCCACACTCAACGGCATTATATCTGGCTTAGTGACTACTCAGTATTCGCAGTACCTAAGTTATTTTTTTTGTCATTGGTATATTGTGTTTATTGCCTCGGCCCTGGGCTGTCAGAAAACATTACTATCATCGCACCTAATGAAGATTCTCAGAATGTTACAACTCGTTCTTCATCCCCAACCATTCGTGAAAGTCATCCTTTACCTGGCGTCCCCTCTGGAGGAGCTCATGGGACACTTTTACTTGCTGGGTGCCCGCTCCCATGTTCCGCGACCAATCATGTCTCTGCGTGACACAGTGCACACTGCACAGTGCCTGTCACCGGACCACGCTGGGCAGGCAGACCACCACGGCTCAGCCGGCCGGCCGGCGGTCGGTCGGTCGATGATGCAGTATTGAATAGCCACCGAGGCCACAGCTCCGGGCCAGCTCCGGCTCCGAGTCCGGTCCGGGTCCGGGCGCCCTAGCTACCGCAGTTCGGGAATGACCCGGCCCGCCGGCTGGAGACTATTTGGGGCGTCCCGGCTGCCCGGCGGTGCAGTGACGGATCAAGGGATGAGCTCATCAGCAGCCGTCTGCAGCGCTGGCCATGCAGCCGGCTCCCGGATCCGGTCAGCGCGACCTGGGGAGATGGATTGTCGTGGCTAGGATTATCGTGGCTAGATGAACTGCCGTTTTGTACCTGGTATTTATATTTTGTATCTGTGTTATTTATTTTCACCCCGTCAGGCTACAATCCTTTTTCTTCCTTTCCCCTCTTCTTCTTATTCCTTGCATTTTGGCCGTCTCTTTCCTAGTTGATGCTTTTCTTATGAGACATCATGACCCCATTTGAGCACGCTCAACAGCTCGCAGCTCATTCACCCCTTCCCGTTTGTAGACCATCTTGCTCCGTAATCACACAGCAGGCTACGTTCGCTGTCTGGAGACGCTCCGAGGTGGGCGTTATCCACTCCCAATCACTGGCCCCAGGGAAGGCGCAGAGACAGCCGGCGGGGACCTAGCGCCACTTCCTAGCAATAATCTGGACGACCCGCGGGTCCAATGCCTGATGGATTGGAATTCCGGAGGGAAGACGTGGGGGGGGGGGGGTAGGGGGATATGATAGAAGCTCCGGATTTATGATGGAACGCGTGCCACATGGAAGCTGAAAAGGGTGAACGAGATTGGGCGAAGCTCGCTGAAAGGAAGAAATGGTATTGTTTAGCGCCATCGAGCAACAAATGGCTGATACATCCTGTACCACTAAGTGATTCAGATTTCAGGCTGTCTTTGCCAAGCCCTCTGGCTTTTAATTTAATGTTATGCTACTTTCGTTCTCGCCCTTAGGAACGGAGCAGAGCGGGAGCTGCCAGACACAGTATCCCTTCCCTTTAAGGAGTAAGGAGCATCCCTTTAGGGATGCTCCTTACCGAATGTTTTCATCGTCGTATTGTAGGAAACATTCGTCAGTGTGTTTCCTCCAGTGCCGCTGTGTTCTGTTGCCGTATTCTGTATTCTGTCGTGGGTACTCCTCTGGCGCGTTTCCACTCTAATGGTGACTCTAAATGATGCCGCGTTACAATCATTGTTGGACCGTGAGATGGGCGGCTACACTTGAGTCAGCTGAAGAATCTCAGCCGTTCCTTGAAGTGCACCCGTCTGTGTGTCTCGGGAAAACGGTCTAAGAAAGGCTCCTCTGAATTTCTGGCTGGATGATTCAGGGAAAAGCTAACGAGCGTGTTCGAGACACGTTGTCCAAAGGCAAATAAATTCCAATTCACTCGCTCAATTTAAGCTATTTCAGGACATCGGTCTGGACTCCAAACGACCGCAGCTGAAAAAGCTGTCGTGGTAGGTTTTCTGGAACGCGTGGTTCGGCTCGGTTTGAGCTTGTCAAACATGGTGTTAGCCGGTGCTGTAACAATGTAACCAGTTCTAGCGGGCTGTTGAGGCTGCAGGCGCAGTTGTAATGACGTTAACGAAGCTGCTTGATTAATCTCTTACAAAGCACATTCATAAAAAGGAATAACGGATCGTCTGGTTTCGCTGCTGAACATAACAGGCATGCCTATTGCCTACTCAACTGTCATTCAACCGGTATAGTTAGCACAGTGCGTGCTGTTTTCTTTTTCAAATGTAATGTTGCGCATTGGAAAATATGATGCATCTGTATTTAGTATTCAACACCTGCTTCTATCTCCTGTTTTTCTCGATGCATCACGTGATTCCATCCACCTGCGGCTGCTGACGTCATCACCCGCCTCTGCCGCGCCTGTCGGGCGGAGAAGAGGCACGGTGTGACCCTGTATCGTGCCGGGGCCGCCGTGTGCACTGTGCACTCGGGCGTACTCAGTGCACGATGCAACAGGCGGCTCGTGCAGCTCCATCCCTCGCCTCCGCCCACCTGAGGCGCGCGGCGTGTCACGAGATTAGTGCGGGATTTGGCGATGGAGGTTCTGTCGCTATCAGGCACCTCCGCCCGCTGTCTTTACTGCTTCCTCCGCTGTTTCGCTTCGTCCGTCGCTGCTTACCCTGTATGCGCCTTTTCTCTGCCCCACTCTCTCAGCTGCATCTCACTTGTGCCGCGGCATTCGATCGTGCGGTGCATTGTGTCAGCAGCGAGGTCGTTCAGTCGGCCTCCGCCGCGACTCAGTGGAGCGCGCAGCTCGTAGCCCGCGGCCGCTCACTGGGACGGCGAAGTGTTGTTCCCAGTCGCTCGGCAGGAGGTACCGCTCGCAGGAAGTACCGTCCGCTGTCGGAGAATGGAGGGGAGCGGTGGGCGGACGGCTGGTCTCGTCACGTTTTTGCTCACCACTGACACCTGTCCAAGTGCTGAAACGTGCTGAGGTGTTCGAACGGAAGATCGTTTGGTGGAGCTCGCAAGAAGCTCACCGCCTGTGTCGGATGGAGGTTGAGTTCTTCGTCGGGCTGTCTACCGCTTGGGTGTTGCCTCACCTTGTCATGTATCCAGTCATGCAAACATCCCACTGAGGTTCAAACATGGCGTCTGCGTGCATGACCAACATCGCCCCAGGTCCGTATTTCAACACAGCGGCCATGACCAACATAAACTGTCCCTTTCAAACGTCTCTCTCCGTGCATACAGTGATAACTGCTAGCTCAATAGATGATTTTACTACATCACCTCAGCACTGCCACCGGCCGCCTATTCGCCACCATCTAACTCTCCTCTCTCGTTACAGGCAGAGCGCCTTGACGCGCCCGGCGGCTCTGGCGGCGGAGGCGGCGGCTCGGGATCAGGTGCAGCTGAGTCCGAAGAACAGCGACAGCACCGCAGAATGGACCGGCTGCGGCGATCGCTGCGCGACAGTTTCCGGCGCAAGAAGGAGCCGCGGAGCTCCGAGTCGTCGCGGCCACACCAGTGGCAGGCAGACGAGGCGGCAGTGCGCGCCGGCACCTGCTCCTTCCACGTCAAGGTGAGGGTGGAGACGTGGTGGGATGGGGTAGGGGGAGAGAAGGGATGTGATGCGTGGACAGAAAGATCGGTCGGGAGGTCAAAGACAGAGTGGATGGGAGGACAAAGAGAGGGTGGGGTGGGATGGAATTATTAAAGACGAGAAAATGAGATGTGGCGGCGCCGATCTAAGTGAAATTTAAGAGTGTGAACAGGTGACTATGGGAATGGACGATCGACCTATCAGTTAGTTTTGGTGCTTCCCTAGCTCGCCCTAACAGATGTTCGGTGGCTTGTATGGCATCGTGGTGCCCGTATTTCCTCGCATTTCGTATTTACCCTGTTCTACAGTTCCCTGTTTATCGCATTTGGAGCGCACTTATCCGGCGCCTCCTAACCGCAGGAAGACCCGCAGGCTGCCCACAACACCGTCCGGTGGCTTCCCCGTGGGGTCCCATAACCTCCTGTCGGCACAGTGGCCTCGTTCCCGCTATCAGCACGCCGTGCGATACGGTCCTGTTTGTGTGTCTGTGTGTGACCGCTCGCCTCCGGTTGTTTGTGCGGTCAGGCGTGTGGTGTGACCCGCTCCTGATCCTACCGCTACGATCCGCACCGCGGGTGATACGCCCCTGAGCAGCTGAGCTGTGCTGTTCTGTTGTGGTGGATAGTTGACGAGAGGTGAGACTTACCACTCGTCCTTTGGTGGGTGGCGGGTGAGGAAGAGCACCTCTTGTTTTTGGTTAATGACTGGTGGGACTGCTCACCTTTCGATGGGCGGCTAGCTAGGCATGAGACTCCACTAAACGTTCGATTGGCAGCGTGGCAACGAGACTGGTGAGACAGTGACACACCGCCTTATTTAGGTACCTGTCGGTAGCCGCCCCGTGAGCCAGCCACCGCTATATGTGATCGATGGGTTCTGATCAGGTCACGGAACTGGTTTTCCATAAATAGGACTCCGAAGAAAAGTGAGAACCCGATTCTTGCTAGTTGGGTACAAGGGCAACCGGTGCAGCGGATTACGGTGATGGAACGTTTTGTGTTTTGCTCTCGTATACAAAGGGATTATAATAGTTTGTGGAAAACGATGCATTAGTTGTATTTATTTTCTCTGGTTTCTTGATATGTTGTGGCGTCATTCTTGTGAACTGTGCCGTATATTGTACTGAAACGATTTGCTGAATAATTTGTAGTGCGCTGAATGCGTTGCGAGTACGTTTTTTGAATCACGTGTAGCCCGCATGCCTAACATTAACATCCTCTTACATATCTATCACCCTGTTCCTGTCAATGTTACCCCACTTTTTGGCCCTTCTCTGATTCTCTTTTACCTGTTTTCCTCGCATTTACAAAGTCTCGTCGCATGCACTCCGTCTCCCCTTTACATCGACCCGGCCTCTGTGGCCACTGTCGTCTGTCACTGTGGCCCGTGTCCCTCCTCATACCCCAGGTTTTCCTAGCGTGCCGGGCGCCACTGACCTATCAGCTGATCTCGCTCCAAGAATGGAGTGGGGTAATGTCCCAGTGGGGTGGGTCGGGCCCAACCTGCAGGCGAGCCCTCGCGACTCTGTTACACGAGCCTTTGTTCGGCCTGACCCAAATGGTAGGTACTCCGCCCGCGCGCTGGCCTCATGGTTGGCACGTGTATAGCTGCACTGAATTGCTACACTGAACTGTGCCCACACTGTACGGGGTCGCGTTTCGAGTTTTCGGAACAGTGAATATCACGGATAGGTATTATTTGAGGCTGGAGGTGCGGATATATTACCGTGATATTTGTTGACGCCAGATTGCAGCGCGTTGGCAGTGACTGCGACGCTTTGATGGACGCTGTCTATGTGACTGAGTCGTGTGACTGTGTCTCTGTGCTATGCCGGTCTGATTTGTCCCTGTGCTTGTGTGCTGCGTCCCTGCTTACCGTCTGCCATGTACGCGGTGCCGGTTTTAGTCTTAAAGGTGTCACCAGTAGCAGCTTCTCGGTGTCGGTGCCAGAGTCAGTGGTGGTAGTGTCACGAGCCCAACTCGCGTGTCGTTCCGTCCGTGTCGTGCTACCGAGTTACGTGCGTCCCGTATCGGGTGGAACTCTCTGGGGTCCGGTGGCACCGGCCGCAGCCATTGTTCAGACCCGAGTAAACTTTCCGAGCGGTGGCCGGTGCGTCAGGCTGCCAGGTACGGTGCACAGTGGGCCAGGCGCTTCAAAAAAGCGGAATTAAATCAATGAGCACAGCTGCGGTGCCAAAAATGATTCGTTACAGGGTAAAATATCATGCTAAAGCCGAATCCGATATCCATTTTCAAATTTGATTGGTTACGCTAGGTCACTGACCTATGACGTCATTATTTAATTTCTGCGCTGCACATATGCCTGGGACAGGCGGGCACTATGCCGCATTGGCCGCGCGTTTGCAGTCTTTTCGTGGTTTCAAGCGTTCAAACATGTGATATGATGTTGGTCCCATGCATTACGGTGGGTGTAAGGGACTAAGGGTCACCTGAAGGTCAGGTCAGGTCATTGACCTTCGATGACCTCGGTTCACTTTTTCGAGTTTTACATGTTTCTGGGCTAGTTTTTGGAACTGAATTCGAATTTAGGAACCATTTGAACATTTACGAAGTAGTTTTGGTGCCTTCGTAACATGTTACGAAGCTGTCAGAGGCGGGTTGACACCCACTACGAATACCCGGCAGGACCCATACTGGTTGACCTGACCTGAGCTGACCCGACCTGGCCTAAATGCATGAAGACATCATCTGTGATCAAAACTAACATGATATTCGTGATCAGCATCCCGAAAAACCCCTTAGCAGCCACACTATACGACGTTCTAACACGTCCCGACTTTCGGCCATTGACCTGACCTCAGAGGTCACCATTTGACCTATGACCTTAAACCCGGGTACCGTTGGCTTCGTCTCGTGACGACCTACACGATGGTTTTTTCCGCGAGGCTCTAGCTCAATTAGGGGCCAAACGCGAGGAGGGTCGCATCCCCCGGTGCCGTCGAGGGATGCAAAACGGCCTATGCCGGCGAGGGTTAAACCCTTATTTGTCCATTTCGCGCAAAAATGCGCAAAATATTTGCATTGGGCAGCAAGCTATACACCTTGAGAAAAGTCAGGCAGCAAATATCTTCGTGTTGTTCGGTGACGTTTTCTTTATATCCTTATATAAATTCATTGCGTCGTTGCACTACCACGGTTCCGAACAGGCACTGTAAACCCCACCGCTACTAGTAAGCATGAAATAGTTCCCAGGAACTTGAGTACGAGAAACATGCGCAGAAATACCGGCTGTTTTTTTAAAGCTATTTTGTACGGAATAACTTTAATGATTTTACGCTGAGAGCTTTTGAATCGGGGGAACGGAATATGGTACACAGCAGTCATTTCCATCTCCAGTCGGTAAGTCCTACTTTGCGACGTTATAGCATTATCTGCCTTGACATTGGGGAAAGGAAACTTGCATATTCGGAAACTTTGGACATTTTTACAATACTCTATCCCATAATTACAGGAATTTCACCGAAGTGGATTTTCGACTTAATTCCGCTTTTTTGATGCGCCTGGCCCACTGTGCGGTGGAACGATCGCCTCCTGCCCCCCCTCTCGACCCCGACCCGCTACGGTCCAGACTCCCGGTCCAGGCCTCCGCAGACCAGCACGTGGGTTGTAGCTCAGGCTAATGGCCCAGAGCTCTCACTGTCACGTGGCATGGAAGGCGGTGCTTATCCTCTGTTGGGGCATTCCACGTCAAATCAAACACCGAAATCCGTCATCCCCTTCGATTTTTCTGAAAATTTGTAGGCAGACTGGGCATGGTTCAAAACTGAGTTACGTATAATATTTTCGAAATTTGATAACGTATCGCTGAGATATAGGTCATCGAATATAGCGAAAAATGCCACACATCAATTTTTTAAATGGCTATAACTCTGGTTCCTTTTCTGGTATCAAAATGATATTAACAGGGTCTTATAGGCAATTGATAAGGCTTTGATTTTTAATTATAAAATTAAATTGAAGTGACCTTGAAATGCATTTGACCTTGAATTAAAACAGAAAAATTTAAATAGCAAAAAACACGTCACCTTCGATTTGGGTAATTTTTACATATTATGTCCGTCACAATGTTCCTAACCATCTGTGAAAAAATTGGAGTGGGCCATTCATAACTTTCGCGGCAAACGCCGTTTTCATGCATCAACATCACGCAACCGCGCGTGACCTTGAAAGACAGAGTCAAGACATGCTTGCTTGTGTACACTTTCTGAAATGAATGATTGCTGATTAGTGATATCCCAAACTCTGCGAGAATGGAAATGCATAGTCATCGTAGTCAAGCATTCACGCTCCATAGTAAAAGTGTCGCAGGCAAACGGTATTTTGCGGTGAATTTTGAGCCGTGTGGAAATGCATCATGAAGTAAATTCAACGAAAACATTATCACGCAACGATATCTTCACGCCTTTTGATCTTCACTATACGAAAGAACATACATTTCTTAGTATGTATGGGGAATTTCTAGTTAATCCAATAATAAATATGGCAGTTAGAGGCCTGCTAAGAGTAACATGTCGCCGGCTGAGGCGGGCTCGGCCGATGCGGGAAACGCAGCAATCACAATTTTGTGTTAACACGTTCATATTTCAATTGTTTACCAACCGATTTTCAAAATTCTTTCACCATAAGATTGCCTGTACATTTCTTAGTCTTCTCACAAAAGTTGACGCGAATCGAACGTAATCAGCGGTAGGGAGCGCGATGTAAAGACAGAACCGTTCCGTTCCGTCCCGGCACAGTCTACAATTCAGGCGGCGCGTAGCGGTCGGCGCCGGCTGCCGAGTCGCCGCGTCGCTGCGGCGACAGGATGTTCACTTTACACCGCTATTACTAGAACAGTTGTGAACCGATTTTCTTATTGCTTGCACGATGAGATGTCCAATTCAATTCTTGACAGGTAGCCATAATCAATTTCGCATTAATCTTATGAGATATTGGCGAAAAACAGGAGGGGTGGGCGAAATTCGCTCTTCCCCCTCCACTGCGCGTGCTAACATACGTTTGCATATGTGCAATTTTCTTCAAAACTTATGAATGGCCCACTCTAATTTTTTCACAGGTTGTTAAGAATATGGTAGGCAATAAAATATATGAAAATGAGCCAAATCGAAGGTGACGTGTTTTTTGCTATTTCAATATTTGTGCTTAAGAACAGAGTTAAGCAAATTTCAAGGTCATATATTTAAGTAGGTGCAATTCTAAACAAATGCTTAAGAAATTACCTAAACAGTAAGGTTTATTTCATTCAAATCAAACAAGTACAACCAAAGTTATGGTCGTTCAAAAATATAAAGATGCAACATTTTGTAAAAATTTGATGCCCTATATTTAGAAGACCTGTGGTCAGAATGTGCAAAAAACATCAGTGTAATGTCCGGGGCCACACAGGAACTCGCTCACAAATTTATAATGAAATCGCTGATGGTAAGGTGCAAAACAGCCGATTTTTGTTCGATTTGACGTGGAATGCCCCTGTTGCAGTATGCATTGGACTGTGCACTGTGCAGGTGTCTGTTGTGTCTGTTGTAGTGCCCAGGCTGTGTGTGACTGGGCTCACAGATCACGTGACTAACAGTTGATGTCTGTCCTCTGTTGCAGTACCTGGGCTGCGTGCAGGTGTACGAGTCACGTGGCATGCAGGTCTGCGAGGATGCCCTCAAGCTGGTCCGGGTAAGTGGAATCGACTTCAGCGTGCGGGTTTACCGGTAGGAGCGGGGGAGGACCTTTAGGTATATTTTATTTCGTGAGCCAAATGAACGACTGCAATCGGCACGCGGTGAAACATGCAGTGAAGCTGCAATAAACACACAAATGTTATGTTTGGTCACTTCTCAGTATGTCGTCTTGCCGTGTCTTGTCTTGGATACGCCGAGTTTTTTTTTTTGTTGGGCTGCTGTGCTCCAGACTTCTGGAAAGAAACTCAATTTTCCATGAATAGTTCTACATGAGGTGTCCTGAAGCCTCGCACACGCCCAAAGCCACGCCAGTGGCGGCGGAAGGTAATTTTGGATGGGGGTGCAAAGTTTTCTCAAGGGGCCCCTCTGGAGGTTTTGGCCCCCCCTCATTTTTTTAGTGACTATTATTGAATCATGAAAAACGAAGATTTTGGAAATATATCCCCATACACACAAGTTCTGTAGGTTTGAAATTGCAGTGTACCTACCTAGTAGGTACCTATCTCAAATAATGAAAGCATAAAGAACCAAATGCAGCTAGTTTTTTATCGGCTAAGTAATCTTTTAGTCTAGCCATCACCCGTAGCGTCTCAAACCACTTTTCTGGATCTGCAGTGGACCATTGAGGGCCCTACGAGACCGTTCCAAGAAGACCGTGTTTAGAAGCCCATTGGAAACCGACCACATAGAGACTCCTCCAGAGGCCTACATGACTCCCCAGACTGAATGAGCCCTCCGATCAGGGTCGGTCCCTTGAAAGTTGCTGAAATGTTTCAGAAGGCAGTATAAGCTCGAAAGTCTTTTGAGGGCTCTTAGAAACCGGCATCGGACCCCAAAAAAGCCTGTATGGAGGCCCTCCAAAGCCGGGATGGAGGCCACAGGAGCCGTGGCTTAGCCTAAATAGCCGGTATGAAGGACTGAATAGAGGAAAGGGGTCTCAGTGGGGCCTTCAGGGGCAAGCGTTTGAGCCCCAAAAGTATGTGTGGGGTCTTAGAGGCAGGTAGACCCCTGGGGTATGCACGGGGTCCCAGGAGCTCGCGTGTGAGCCCAAATATTCGGCGGGCAGCTACTAGAACTAGCATGGGGATTCTTAGAAGCCGCTTAGACTCACATTTCATGGGTCATGAGTCCCAAGAGTCGATGTAGCCCGTGTAGGGGCCAAAAAAGCCGGTGTAGGGCCCATGGCCCCATAAGTTCCGACATTGAGACTCTCAGAGGCCGGCGACGGGGGACCAATAGCAGATAAAGTGCCTCAACAAGTCGACATGGGGCCTGAGAATCAGTGTAGAATTCCAGGAGCCTGCGTGAGCTCTCGGAGACCTTCGTATTCCGTAAGGTCCACAAAGGTCGTTGGGTCCTCTGAATCTGAACTCTGCGGGGCCCTCAGAGGCTAGCATGTCTCCTGGCACCTGCCTGCGTTGAGTTGAGACCCTCCGAGGCCGTCGTAGGGTTCTTCAGAGGCCAGCATTGGCCTTTGAAGCCTTCGTTAGGCCCTAGAAGCCGTCAAGAGGGCCCTCAGAGGTCAGCGTGGCCCCTGGAGCCTGCCTGCGTCGAGGCCCTTAGAGGCCGTCGTAGGGCCCTCAGACGCCAGCGTGGGCCTTTGGAGCTTGCGTTGGGTCTTAGAGACCATCGTGAGGGCCCAGAGAGGTCGTGGTCAGGGCCCTCAGCCCCTCAGGGACCGTCCTGAGGTCGTCAGAAGTTGTTGTGAGGGCCCTTAGAAGCTTTCGAGAGGATCATCAGAGGTCTCAGGAGGGTCCTTGGCCATAGTGAGGGTCTTCATGGGCCCTCAGATACCTTTTCAGGGCTCTCAGAGGCCTTGGTAAGACCGCTAGAGGCCATCGTTAGGGCCCTCAATAGACCGTTGCAGGGCCCTCAGATGCCAGCATAGCCCCTGAAGCCTGGTTGCGTTGGGGCCCTCAGAGGCCGTCGCTGGGCCGTCTGAAGCCAAATGGGCCCTCATACTTGAGTTGGGTCTAGGGCTGTCACGAGGGCCCTCAGAGACCGTTGTAGAGGCCCTCAGAGGCCAGCGGGGTCCCTGGAGTCCTGTGGGACCCTCAGCGGTCGTCATGAGGGCCCTTAGTGGTCGTTATAGGGCCCCAGGGGACAGAGACACAGAGGTCGTCGTGAGAGCCCTCAGAGATCATCGTAAGGGCCTTCAGAGGCCGTCATAGGGGCCCTCAGAGGCCAGCGTGGCCCCTGGAGTCTCCTTAGGGCCCTGGAGTTTCTGTGGGACCCTCAGCAGTCGTCATGAGGGCCCTTAGTGGCCGTTGTAGGGCCCCAGGGGACAGAGGTCGTCGTGGGAGCCCTCAGAGATCGTCATAAAAGGGCCCTCTGAGGCCGTCGTGGGGGCCCTAAGATGCTGCATGGAGCACCAAACGCGGCTCGGGACACTTCTAGCCGGTGTGGGGGCCTCAAAGACTAGCATGGGGCGCTCCTGACCATAATTGGACATCCCGGATGATTCTACATCAGTGTTCGTTTCCCGATCACTGGCTTTCAGGAGAAAATGTATTGGATGGTGCCACGGGCCCCTTGTACGGATTTTGGGGGTGCAAAAAGATATGTTTGCACCCCCATGTTTTTCGATGGGGGTGCAGCTGCACCCCCTGCACCCCCTATTCCGCCGCCACTGAGCCACGCCCGGGCTCCGGCAGATGGGCGGGCGTTGTGTCCCGAAATTGAGCCCCGGGAATGGATCTGTACTGCAGCGGGAATCGAGCGGAATTCCTAGACGGCTGAGGTCTGGCGCCATCAGTCTGTCCCCCTCCCCAGGGGGGTGGGGAAGGGGAGGATTAGGTCTGCCCTCTCGGTGCCTCAGGGTGGTATTATGAACAAAGCTGGGTCGGCGACAAAGTCTCATAAAGCATCAAAAGGTGATATACGTTCGCAGCTAAAATGGACGAGCCGGACTAGGTGAAATTCTATTTTTAAACGCCTACTGATACGCCTACTGAGCCCTCATACGCCTACTGATAACGTTTCATATTTTGCAGGACGCATCCTATATATTTAACCGAGTCATTTCGCCGGGGAGAGCAGTCCTCGTTTGGTCGTGTCAGCTATTTTAGATTGACATTTGAATCTTTCTAACGAGGAATGGGTAGAAAAGGTAGGATGAAATCTGGCTTTGAGCGCGTCTATATGGAACCCATTAGCTGCGGTGACATCCAATAACGCTTCTTTGCTGCTCGAACGACCCATCCACGCGGCTGCACGCCATTCCGAGCCTGACACCCAGTCAACATTTTAATTAAACATTCTTCGTACCGGCGCCACTGCGTAGGTATTTGCGACATCAATAGACTCATATGACGTCACGCGGTGAATTCCTGGTGACGTCACCTGTGCCATCCGGCTTTTGTCGCCGCTGGCAGTGACAGACTGGTCAGATTTGTTTGCTGGACTCTACACGGAGGTGATCGCAGTGAGTCACCTCCTGGTTCTAACTGATCGAGGCGTGATATGCACCGACGGGCTGGCGAGTAGGTGCTGGCAGAAAAGAACTCCAGCGACCGATGATGACGGCCTGATGAGTCACAGCCGGTCGATGGCGTGCGGTTATGAGTGGCTGTGACCTTGGAATGATGGCGCGCTTCGAATAGAGATGGCTGGTGCCGAAGGCATTAGGGTGGAATAGATAGTTTCGGCCTAATAAACGGAACCATTCGGTTGGGGTCGATATTGATGAGGGATGTAGGTATTTTTAGTTCATATGATGCTGCTTTTACGCCTGTATATCGTTCAATTGTCCGATCACAATTTATTGTTTTGCTATGCGCTAATCTGTTCCTACAAAGCCCATTGTTAATTGATGATCTCGATGCACACTACCAGATGAAATTGTGTGCGCTGGCAAAGTTGAAATGAAACGTCAGAGAATGATGAACACTCGTCCTACTTTGATTCCGGACTAAGTGGCAAGGTTCGACCGATCTTGGAAACTCACCACTCTAAGTTCGAACTTCCCAATATGGAAGTTGAACTCTTGGGATGACAACTGATGTTAAACCACTTTGAGCATTCCATTGGAAAGTTTGCTGCCTGAAATGACAACTGAGATTGAATCATTTTGTTCCTTGCATTGGAGGGAGCTGTTAATTTCAATGAACGCTCCATGTGTTGGAACTTTCCAAGCTCCACTTAATCCCTTCATCTTGCTCTGGAAATAAGATGAAGGGATCTGGAAATTCGTGTCGACACCGTAATCCGTATTGAAACCAGCTAAATTGCTAACCACTATTGTTAATGTTTGTGGCAGGCTATTGTGTATGCAACATTGAGTCGAACTCCATTTGCCCTCTGATCATTCTCTTTATCGTGACGTGCCTATAGCTAGCACACTCAACACGACTAATTGTTCTCTCCTCTGCTATCTCGCTCAGCTGAGTGTTTGCCTCAATTTGTAACCACTCTCCCTTGACCCCATGTGACCTGCGTTTGACCTCCGGCCGTCTCTGTCCCCAGTCGCAGCGGCGGCGTCCTCTCCGCGGCATTCTGTATGTCTCCGGAGACGGCCTGCGTGTGGTCGATGATGAGACCAAGGTAAGAAGCAGGGTTGTATACGACTCAATCAATAGCAATCAATTCAATCACGACAAATTTGGGAAACCAATCAAATCAATCAAGTCAGAGCAGTTTTCAGGAATTGATTCAATCGACTCAAACGCGACAATGAAAGGAATCAATCAACTCAATCAAACGACTCAAACCAAGATATACATTAGGTTTTTTGCCCCACCAACTTGGAAAAGTGTCCATAGCAGTCTGGTGTACCTACCTACCTACCTACCTACCTACAGAAGAAACAAAAATATTGTCATTTAAAATTATAAATTGCCATGCCATTCAAAGTTTCTATGTAATAAGGAAGGATACCTAGTGATGGACAGGTGGATCATGATATTGAGGTTCAATGGGTAGAATTGGAGCAGAAGTTTCATTTAATGGGTGCAAAATAACCCAGTAGTTGACTTCAACAAACGCCCCTTAACCCAAATCACCACCTTTCACCTAAAAGTTGTCAGTTTAATTTTGGCCATATTCCAGCTAAGGGCCTGTTCCAGCGCCTCCAGAAACCTCCAGAAACCTCCAGAAAGCTCTAGTATCCTCCAGAGAGCGTTCCAGCGCCTCCAGAAAGCTCCAGAAAGCTCTCGCCAAAGCTCCAGAAACCTCCAGTAGCCTCCAGAGAGTTGAGAGGTCCAATTTTCTCTGGAGGCTCTGGTCTACAATTATGGCGCACATGTGACATTCACGAATGTAAACAAAGAACTTTTGACTGATAATTTTACAAATTGAATGTAATGAAAATTACATTGCTATAATTTTGTTAATCTTTTTTACTAAAATTGAAAACAAATTTTGCGTTTCAAGATAGAACAGTCGTCATTCTTTTGGTATCTATGACGCCAATCTCCAGAAATCTCCAGATTGCGTTCCAGCGCCTCCAGTGAAAACTCTGGTAGAGCCTCCAGTCAAGAATTTCTACTGGAGGCGCTGGAACAGGCCCAATGTCATCAGGCCATCTACCTCATGTAAATCTACCTCATGTCTGTCTCTTATGTGAGTTATGCGGAGCTCTTCTGAATTGAACCCTGAACATAATGAACCTAGCTAGGTTACATGCCACACTGACACCATATTGATATGAAAGTGTTGAAAATGTGCTATAAATTTGACAACTTCATTAGGTATGCTTTATGAAGACAGCAGGAAAGCAGGTAGGTACCTACTTACCTGCCTAGATGTGTCACTTGGCTACCAACAGTACCAACGAAGGTAGATAGGTTATATGTGAAGAATTCAAAACATTTTATTGCAATACAATTTGAAACTGTTAGGACTGGGGGATAGGGATGAGCATTAAAAATATATTTAAAAGGAAACGGAAAGGACAGGGACTCTGGAACCACAGGATAAGTTAAGGACAAAGGAAGAAGAACAAGGAAAATTAAATGCCGTTGGTGCGACTGCGAAAAAACAAAGAAAACGTTTTGCCAAGAAGTATGCTAAGCTTTTATAAATCCTTATTCTTCGTCTTTTGATTTTTTGGTAAGATGACGTCATTGATTATCATGTAGTATGGTAGATCATCATAAAATAAATCGGTTGTGCAACACCAATTTCGTTTTAATTATTATTTCAATTGAAGTAAAACCACTTAATAATATTCGGTAAAATATTTTAAGGAAAATGAAATATATTAAATATGTTATGCCTAGGCTCTCAGGAGAAAAGGATCAACAAACGTTCTGCTGCAAATTAAACAATGCAGCAAATTAGCTATTAATGTAAACGTAATTAGCGAGACGAAAACGGCGCTTTTGTTTCAGTTATTTTTGTAGGGGGAGGAGATGTGGAGATGTGAATTAGTAATTAATCACACTTTATTAGTATATAGGGCCTTGCACTTTATCATCTGGATTAAAAAAAAAATCCTGCTGAGTGCAGAAAGGTAGGTAGGTGCATCGCCAGGTTCTATCACAGGATTGGAGCAGTTATTGCAGTTGAAAGTCAAAGTTGGCTGTTCATGTTTAGGCCCTGTTCTTTATTTGGCCATGTACTCCATATTGCAGTTGTGATGACAAGCAGTTTTCAGTGTAGTTTTGTGATCTTTGATGTCATCAATTGGTGTCATTATTTTTCGTCAACTAAAACTTATTTCAACTTTCCATTCAATCGACTCAATCATACGAGTCACTCTAATTTTCGGGAATCAAATCAGTCAACCAGTCGCTAAAGTCAAACGAGTCAGTCAACCAGTCATCTCGAAAAGTCAATCGACTCAATCCAATCAACTCAAAATACGCGCTGAATCAAATCAATCAATTCAATCGACTTGATTGGTATACAACCCTGGTAAGAAGTCGATGATGAATGATGATGATGCCGTGGTCGATGATAGACGATGGTAAGAAGTGACCAGGACACCGGATGGTAAATTTAGAGCTCACTGTACTCTCAGTGTACCCGAGCTTTTCAGATTCGGGGCTATGTTAATCTTTCAACACTGTCGTCAGGTGTTCCTTTTACCACCCTGCTTGTACCCTATATGCGATAAGAAGGGTGTATATGAAAATATAACCATCATTTGCCTTAGGTTTTCGTCGTCTCCTCAGTTCTGTTTACTGTTATTGCAACACTATGCTCCGCTCCAATTAGCCTGATCTGATCAGTGACCTGTCGCAAACAGTGCTCGATTATACACCGAGCTCTCAAAGCAAGCAACCTTTTGATATGACCTGACCTCTCTCAAGACCTGATTGTGGACCAAGCCATCCAAAAGGCGTCGTTCTGACCTGACCTGACCTCTCCTCAGGACCTGATCGTGGACCAGACGATCGAGAAGGTGTCGTTCTGCGCGCCGGACAGGAACCACGAGCGTGGCTTCAGCTACATCTGCCGTGACGGCACCACCAGGCGCTGGATGTGCCACACGTTCCTGGCCATCAGAGAATCGGTGAGAGCGATACTTCATCAGCCTTCCTGCTTCTTCGTCCTGCTGTCGGGTTCCTCTGGTTTCTCTCTGTCTCCGAATTCTGACCAGTAGGGCTGGCAAAGTGTATTCCTTTCATTCCTGTATCCGCTTAGGTTGGTGATTATCATGTTGTGTTTCCGTGTAGCTCGTACTTGCTTTGGAGATTGATGGCTAACTGCCCAGCTTGTACGGTGAATGTCTGTGCGCAGTGTATTTCTGTGTTTGCGTGTGTGCGGTCGTTATGTGTGGATGTGCAAGGTGCATTGGCGGCTGTATATATCGAGCGAACGGTGGACGGGCGCCCACGGGCAGACTGAATGCCCGTTCATAACTCGGCACTACGACCTGTGGCGCGTTTCCTCTTTGATAAATGACAATGCCTTGTGTGACTGGGGACAAGGTCGATTAATGCACCCGGTTCTAACGCCAGTGACCATGGAATTTGCTGAAAGGAAGAGCGGGTCTGTCCGCACTTGCAGCTGCTGTAATGGTAGTGGTTAGTCGACGAATGGCGTGCAGCTGTGGAATGGAAAGTCCAGAGGACGGGAAACTACGGCTTGTCCTGCAGCTCTGCCTAATCAATTGATTGGTCACGGTCCACAGTCCAGTATCATGCCGGAGTTTCCGAATGTGAAGTTGACCTCGGTACGGAGAACTCGGACATTCAGTCCGCGTTCTGTTTCACCGCTCGGTCATGGAGTATCACTACAAGGAGGCCAAACTCTCTGTCCCGGTCAATATCGCACTTCCGTGTGGCCTTTTCTAACCAGCTGTTTGTCCGTCAGGCCTATTTTGTACGTCACATCGACTTCAGCTTTGTCGTTTCTCATCCCGCCCATCTACCACCAAGTTTCTTCTATTTTACCCCGTTTATTTGTCGTAGCGTTGACCTTATCCTGAGATGCTCTAAGCATTTCCCCATAACCGATCTCCTATGTCATCACTCGCCCTCCCTTAGCCCTTACTTTTTATATCCACTCCGGACTGGTCACCAGCGCTGAACCGCTCATATCGCGCCGCGCTCCCGCCTTTCTCAATTGCTATGTCAACTCGACCGGCGCGATATTGCCCCTCCAGTCGTGATCTGGGCTGAGCCCCTGCCCGTTGCTGGGGGCTGACCGGCCGACCAGAGTTAAGCCCCTGTCTAGGAGCTGGGGGCTGACCGAGCGACCAGAGCGCGACCAGAGCGCGACCAGCGACCAGCGACTATTTTCGACCCGGCACCCGGTACCTGGCCGATGGACCGGGCGCGAACTGAGGGAAAATCGTTACTGCCGTCCGCGGGCGCTTTAAATAACTGAACGACCGGTCCGTGGGTCCGCAAATATTGCCACAGTGCGGGCATTTCGGCGATTGTTCTGGTTGCTTGTGGTTCGTTGTACCGAGGTGTCAACTATATATATATATATATATATATATATATATATATATATATATATATATATATATATATATATATATATATATATATATATATATATATATATATATATATATATATATATATATATATATATATATATATATATATATATATATATATATATATATATATATATATATATATATATATATATATATATATATATATATATATATATATATATATATATATATATATATATATATATATATATATATATATATATATATATATATATATATATATATATATATATATATATATATATCTATAGTATATATCTATGTGAGTTGTAAATATCTACTCGTATGTGAGTTGTAAAGTGTTGAAAGAGGAGAATGACCCGTCGTTTTGCCAACGTGTTTCCACGGTATTTCTGTGTGAATTTTTAGAAGAGGAATACCCTATTAGTTGTGACTATTGTTGCTTTTGTTATTTCCTTTCGTCGTTTGAGCTGTCTCTCTCGTTCCTTCTGTGATGTGATCGATTGTGCCATCAGACGGTATCAACCTGACCGCCCACCCTCACCCCGCCTCCGCCCCCGCCTCCACCTCACCACACCTGCTGTCGGACAGCACATGTCTGCTTACTGAGCCGCAGGTGGCCGTTGTGTGTGTGTGTGTGTGTGGGGGGGGGGGATTGTCCCTGGCCATGGGCCATCGACCCAGCAACTGTGTAATGCCATGGGTTTCTTGTTGTCATTATAGTCTCCTTGTTCGTTTTGTTCACTGGTTCAGTCCAGTATGTCATGAGCAAGCGGTTCCACTTCCTCTGTTGTCCCTCGTGTGCCTTATTCCCTGGCCTTTATGGTACTCCCTTGTCGTGTCCGAACCTATGCTTTCGTCCTGCTTTCGTCCTGTATCTTCACGTGTTTCTGCGTCCCCGCTACCTACGAACACTGCCCGATATACCAATCTCAGCTCGTCTAATATTCAGATCTCACTCGCCGCTCTCTCCTGATAACCACGTATCTGTCTTGCTCGTCTGTAACTCGTTCATCGTCTTCCACTCATCCTTCATTAATCTTCCACTTTGCCCCTCTTCCGCGTGTCTCACTCACCTCTCCCTGTTCTCTCACTTGTTCTCTCCCTCTATTCTCTCACTCGTCTCTTGTTCATCTCTCACTCATCTCCCTTTCTCTACACTTTAGGGACAGCTGCAGCGTCTTCCTGTCAATGTGAGTGCAGGTCTCAGATTGAGTCTGATCCACTCCAGCTGAACTGCCCGGAAAGCATACACGCATGACAGCCCCCTTCCCCATAGCGGCCATAGCTGACTCCCCTGCGTAGTGCGTACCCTCCTGTCTGGCTGCCTGGCTGAAACCAACTCACAATCCCGCCGTGAACTAGGGCTGACGTCGGTCGCTGCTTCCTGTTGTTACCATCGCTTGTTTCGTGTGCTGTGAACGATGCCTGAGCGGCGCACAGGCTAAGCGGTGCGTTGATTTATAGTTAGTTGACTGGCGACGAACTGTTAAGGTCCATGAGGAAACCCATAAGTCCTCTGCGTTCGTTTTTCTCAACACGAACGAGCGGAAACGGTGCAAAATAAGACCTTCAGGGCCATAGCTATCTCTTTTTTCTCTCGATTGTTCAAATTAGTTTCAGAAATATGAAACAACCTTTCCATCCGTTTCTAGACTAAGCAGTTCATGAAAAGCAAATATCACGTCGCACACATCGCTTGCTTTAGTTATTAGCTAGGTACCAAGAACGCTAATGGAATTTTCACGTTATCCATCAAAGTATTTGGCCGGTTGTTGTTCCGTTACCGCTACACAGCGCTCTCTTACTGATAGTACTGCTGGCTTTAACTGAATATGATGCGAATGAAGCTATACGCATGTTTGTGCCCTTGCTAATGCCTTTGCTGTTCATCTAGACTACAGGTCAGTCTTGCCAGAGCATGTGTTACCCAATAACCTAGTAATTTCAGCGCCGGATGATCCCACAGGACAGGCTCTGTCTCTGGCGGTTCATTAGTGCGGGAGCTCCGTCGGGAAATGAGAGGGGTTTAGTGTGTCTGGTGTGCTCCAGAAAGTCTACCTGCTCGCTGTGAGAGATGACTTCGCGAGGTCGTTGACAGGCGGGCTGTTTTAGAGGACTGTCTTGTATGCTCGCTTCTCTAAGCTGACTACATTACCGCGTTTGCAGGATGTGAATTGTGGAGCCTGCTGAATGTTTTATGCACAATAATCTGAGGTCTTTTTGAACTAAGGAAAAATGATGACATATGACGGCTTATTTTGGTTTAAACCATATTAGGTCTGCAGGCTATTTATGTTGTTCTGAACATGCCCATATCTTGTTCATGTTTCAACTATATTTACTGACCAAAGTGATTTGTGACCACTGACGCTATTTATTCCCCGCAGAAGTGACCTTGTTCCTTGTTATGGTAGCCCCTCTGTGACCGCTCTTTGACCAATGACCTCGTCCGCTGACGGCTAGGTGACATGCGGACTCCTGCTGTCACGTCGATCGGACCCTAACCTATGTGACCTCTCTCTGACCCCGTGATCCCGCCCTTTGTCCGCAGGGCGACCGTCTGACCCCGCTGCAACCCTAATGTGACCTCTGTGACCTCTGCCTGACCCCGTGACCCCGCCCTCTGTCCCCAGGGTGACCGTCTGAGTCACGCTGTCGGCTGCGCGTTCGCCGCCTGTCTGGAGCGCAAACAGAAGCGCGACAAGGAGTGCTCAGTGACGATGACTGTCGACCCGACCACGTCGAGCTTCACGCGCTTCGGCAGCTTCCGTCAGGGGACCATCACAGACCGGCTCAATGACCCGCAGGAGTGTAAACCGGCAGGTAGGTCTGAAGAATGGATAGAGGGTGGGGTGTGGGAAGGGAGAGAACAAATAGTGAGGGTATAGGAGAGGAACGTTGGCGAGGGGCGGGGATAGGAGAGAAAGCCCAAGACGGATGACATGTGAATGATGCTCGTGGTGAGGCAGGTGTTACACTTCTAGGTTAAGGGTCTCGAGGCATTGCTGGGGCAGGAGACAAAGGTCGACGCATGGGTTCAAGCGTTCAAGGGAAGATATCACTGGCGAAAACTCGATACCAGCGGTTAGTCATGTTTTGGAACTGCTGGCGTCGAGTGAAGACGCTCTCCTGATGCGTTCTATGCCCGCTCCTGCCATTACAAGCTGTTGCCTGTGCTTTCGGCAACCTGTACGGTCTCTGATGTATCATTTCTGTTGTGTCCCACAGAGCCGGTGCCAGTACTGCCCGTCAGCAACCCGTACGCTGTGGAGCGGCCGCACGCGCCGGTCGGTATGTTCGAGCGGCAGGGCAGCGTGCGCCTGCAGGGCCGCCTGTCTGAGGCGTCGCCGTTCAAGCGGCAGTACTCGCTGCGGCTGAACGAGCTGCCCTCGACACTGGAGAGGCAGGGCCGGCTGCCCAGCCGCGACAACACGCCACGAGGTGAGTTAGAGATAGATGTTGGACTGACAGAATGGCCAGTAGACCGCTCGAAGTGTTGGAAAGCGCCGTGTTTATGATGAGACTCAGAGTTTCGCGCTAATAGTCAAACTGTCTGCCGATTGATCAAGATACAGTTTGGGAACGTCTTATGTATGATGCTACTCGTATTACTGTTTTGAGTCTTTTGTAATAGAGATGGGGACTTGACACTCACGCTCCAAGTAGCTACGCTCGCGAGCATGTAGGCTGCTCTGAAGTCGATGTGTTGAATTCTGGACGGTGACATTATTATCGCTGATTGCGCGGGATTTCCTTACCGCAGTCAATTATCGTATATTGATTGGCCTGGTAATTTAGCGTTCTTGATTCTGTGCGACTGAGGGATAGTCGCTTATTTGATGATAGTTAATTGCTTATGAACGACTCTAATATTGAGGTTGAAGAGGTACTGATCGCAAATTCAGCTAACTAAAATTGGTTTCCACGACGCCCATCGTAGCTGGTCTAGTCTTACATAGGTCGTGAGTCGTGACATTTTCTGTGTTTGCGGTAACGTTAAATGCTTTTGCGTGACATTCCAAAGTGGCATTCACCGTAATGGCTTTTATAACCCTCCGCTCTTCAAGCTGTCATCCCAAGGGAATGTAAAGAGGGGATTAATGTCTCATAAACAGGCATGGAACTGGAGTTTTAGTGGCAAAATGGCGGGATTAAGATGGTCAATGTCATGAGCTTGCCACGAAACGACAGGAAAATTATTTTCAATGTCCTGAGAATTTGGTGAGCCGATTCTGTGCGGCAAAGGCTATGAACAAATGAAAACTGTTGCATAGTTTGCATTATGCTTAAACCGTCTTACAATGGAGTATTTCCTGCGTTTTGGTGTTGGAACTTCCAACACTTCTGGATTATGAATGAGCACAAAATGTGATCATCGAAGCAGTGCTAAGCACTATTGGATCCGCAATCACGTCGATTCGGCAGGAGCATGTTCCGGCGAAGAAGCATATCTTTGCCCATTTTTTCTTATCAGTTTGATCGCATGACCTCTATCAGTCAGTGTCGCTCCTGTATATACCTGTGTAATTTTCGCTCACGTGACTTCCCATCCAGTATCAGTGCTCTCATGTGACTTCCCTCCTGTATCAGCTTTGTCACGTGACTGCCATCAGCCATTACGAGCCCTGTCACGTGATCTCCACCCGTTCCCAGCCCTGTCACGTGACCTTTATCACCCGTCACCAGCTCTGTCACGTGTCTTTGTTTGTCGCAGTGGCGCCGATCCCGGAGGTGCCGGCCATTGACGAGCGGGAGGAGGACGAGACAAATGTCAACATTCTCTGCCGCGAGCTCTCCTCCGGGCTCAGTATGGTCAATGGAGCGCAGACGCCGCAGGTATGGACGCGAGGAGTGAGGGAGGAGAGGGAGAGAGAGAGAGAGAGAGAGAGAGAGAGAGAGAGAGAGAGAGAGAGAGAGAGAGAGAGAGAGAGAGAGAGAGAGTGTGAGTGAGTGAGTGAGTGAGTGAGTGAGTGAGTGAGTGAGTGAGTGAGTGAGTGAGTGAGTGAGTGAGTGAGTGAGTGAGAGTGAGAGAGGGAGAGAGAGAGAGAGAGAGAGAGAGAGAGAGAGAGAGAGTGAGTGAGTGAGTGTGAGTGAGTGAGTGAGTGTGAGTGAGTGAGTGAGTGAGTGAGTGAGTGAGTGAGTGAGTGAGTGAGTGAGTGAGTGAGTGAGTGAGTGAGTGAGTGAGTGAGTGAGTGAGTGAGTGAGTGAGTGAGTGAGTGAGTGAGTGAGTGAGTGAGTGAGTGAGTGAGTGAGTGAGTGAGTGAGTGAGTGAGTGAGTGAGTGAGTGAGTGAGTGAGTGAGTGAGTGAGTGAGTGAGTGAGTGAGTGAGTGAGTGAGTGAGTGAGTGAGTGAGTGAGTGAGTGAGTGAGTGAGTGAGTGAGTGAGTGAGTGAGTGAGTGAGTGAGTGAGTGAGTGAGTGAGTGAGTGAGTGAGTGAGTGAGTGAGTGAGTGAGTGAGTGAGTGAGTGAGTGAGTGAGTGAGTGAGTGAGTGAGTGAGTGAGTGAGTGAGTGAGTGAGTGAGTGAGTGAGTGAGTGAACGAACCCTGCCGAAGAGTCCATAAAAAAAACTATAGATTCGTAGAGATGTTACATAAAGATCTCTATTGAAGAGCGGCGGAGATATGTTGCTTATGTAACCACTATCAAAGTCGGACCACTTATTGATCTATCTCTGACCTTGTGACTTTTGGTCTGGATTCCATATCTAAATTAGAGTCATCTTCGGAGAAGTGTCTGCTGACCAGACTGAAACATATCAGCGACTAGAAGCGATTGCATCATTTGTTCGCCTAAGATAAGGATGTCCTTCGGAAGAATAGCATTGTTTCATTAAAGTCAATTGTCTATTGCAATATAAATTGAGGCCCAGACTTTCTATTTGTGATTTTACTTTGTTGCAACGACGCATATCACACATTCTTCGTCCCTCCCTCACCGTTCACCCCTCTCCTGTGCCCTGTCGACACACCATTAACCCGCCCCTCTCCCGCCCCTCAGAGCCGTCCTGCGGTCAGCGAGGAGCCGTCTCCGTCACCGGCGCGGCCCGACGACTGGCTTAACTCTCTGAACAGCGGCAGCGGCACGCCGGCCGGCCGCTCCGACTCGGCTCACGGCTCCACACCGGAGCCAGAGTGGCACGCGCCCACTCCCGCAGAGGATACCTGGCGCAGCGACCCGTTCGACTCGGAATGGGCGCAGATTGCCGAGCGTAACAACCGCGCCAATAAGGCGACCAACCCGTTTATTGGAGGGGGGCCGGTGAAGACGTTCGAAGTGCACATGTAGGACCAGTGCCATGGCGCGGATGGAGCCGGGAGGGGATACACATACAACGGCGGCAGCTGATAGAACAAGCGACCACCCACTGTCGGTGGTCTGTGTGGACTCGTGTGTGGACTCTGTGGACTCTATGTGGACTCGGGCTAGGATTAGTGGCCGCGCGGCTCGCGGTGCGGACCGCCGGCGCTGCGCGCAGCTACCGGCATGCCTATGGTGGTAGACATGTGATACTGCCCGAAAGGACGGGCGCCGCGCCCGGTCGCATTTTATACGCCTTTTCTCGCGTGTCGCCCCGTCGCGAACTAACCGCCTTCATTGACCAAATCTACGTCTTAACATTCCAGAATTACCTTAGGACGATTGCCTTGTTGATCGGTGAGCGTTGTTGGGTGTGAGTGCGAGGTTTACTGAATGACTGCGGTATATCGATGAGATGTGCGGCGCGCGAGTGTGCCCGTCTCTGTGTCTATGTGCGTGACTGTAACAGTGCTGGGCGGACGTCCCATGCACTGGCCGGTGGCGGCAGCAGGAGCCGATATTCCAGCGTCCCGGTCCATGGCCAAGGACCGATCGGTCACTGCTCAACGGCACTTCCGCTCTGGAGAACGCCGCAGGCGACTGCAGCGCCCCTGGCGGGTGACTGAGAAACTATGACGCCGAGTCGACTGACAGGTGGCAGCACAGTCGCCCGGCTTCCTGGCATATTCCGCTCGCTTGGAGATGTTATGCCGCGCCAACGCCGGCAGCTGTATCACTCAAATGCAGACGTTTGCATTATATATGTGGCAGCTAGATGTAGAAAACATGCAGAATAAAATACCGCTATTTTAACTGAAGTTTGGAAGGTCACGGGAATTACGAAAAAAGGTGGGTGGAAAAAAGATGGGGCACACATCTCGAGAGCGCAAACCCGTTACCATAATCACCGCAAGTGAGAATCTTTGAAAACAATAACTTACCTGTTCACCCAAAACATATATTCATCTGATCACAGTACATCCCAACATACCAGGCGGCATACGTACATAAATACTAACAAAGTGACACCATTGCCCTGAACAGTGCAGCAACGAAGCGGAATCGTGCATGTGATGGCAAGCGGGTGACCCAAAACGCTGCCAAAGACAAAAAACCTCCATCAAAGCCGGTGGAAAGCCCCTGATCCTGGCTAACATAACCTACAATTATTGCGTAACGGTTCATGTGCAGATATACCCCGTCACAAGGCTTGCAGCGCTTGGTGATAAACGGTAGGTAGGTTAACAATCGACAATGCTTTTACAAAATGTACGCTAAGTCATGCATCATTTGCTGAGCATGTCAAACCGCTCACGAAACCTTCGTTGCAGATATCACTATAGGAAGCTGGGGTGCCACAATATCACAACCATCAGAATTCAGCGAACATATTCGCGTGATTTCCCAACATTAAGTAAGGAAGCTCGCGTATAACCAGGGAAATAGTCTCGATGGGTCGCCCATTCGATTGCGATACGGACTATTCAGCTTCACCACATTTAAGCGTACTCCTGCAAACCGACAACCCACTGTTTAACTTGGCTCAGTTGATACTCTTACAGTGAGATAACTCTCCAACAATTGATATTGACGTAGCGGTTGATAAGTGGGATTTGTCATAAACAAGGCACCACGCAAATCGGTCATGGGAAGTCCCCTGGAACAAGCAATGATCAACCACCACACCCCATGGAATAGCCACACCAGCATGACGGCGCACACAATGCCAATGATGCTGCCTAGCAGTCATCACCGGACCCTTTCCTAAAGTCTCAAACCACAATCCCTTCACCTGTCTTGAAGTCACCCTGAACACCTTCGACATTTAGTCAGCTTGTCTGACAACTAGTGTAGCCACTTGGACCATTCGGACGCTCTCACAGTCAGTCAGCAGTCAGCCGCTTTTAAGGTCGAACCAAGGCTATAACTGGTCGAACGCTTTCCTGCGGTTAGCGCAGCCACTTGCAGAACATCTTGGACGTTCTCTCAGCCAGCATGTCCTGAGGCTAGTGCAGCCACTTGGAGAACACCTTGGACGCCGCGTGTTTGGCTGCACTGATGGTACCGTGCCCCGGCGGAGGCCGGGCCGCGCGTGCCTCAAACTGTAGCGCAGCTGCCTCTGACTGCATCCCTGCGTCTCGGAGCTGGCTGGCCGCCGTCACCACGTCTCCACCCGAGTCTAACAGGTGTGCCACGGCCGGTCCGTACAGGGCCGTACCGACTAGCAGCGGCAGAGCCCCGGCAGACAGCAGGGAGTCCAGGACAGACTCAGAGAGAGGCCAGGGTCGGGCCGAGCTCGGTTCACTGTGGTCGGAGGGGGTCGTTGACGGGTCGGGCGGAGGGGCGCGAGCAGTCTCTATGACCACCCGCTCAGCCCGCTCGATGGCTTGCCGTCGGAGATCTGTATCCGTGGAGAGAAGAGCGGTGTGTAGCGCCGCCTCGCCAGCGCCAGCATCCGCCAGTAACTCAGCTAAACGACCGTGCGCGGCGGCAGGTAGAGCAGCCGTACCCGCGTGCTCCGCAGCGGCAGCCACCACTAACCCACGACCCGCCTCACCCGGGTCCAGCCTCAGAGCGCGCTCACAGATCACACAGAGCGGGCTGGTGGCCGGATCGGCAGCCACCGAGTCTGGAAACACCGGCCAGCGGCGCAGGACGCCCAGCAACACACTCAGACGGTCCACGGAGTCGGCCTCCGCCACCAGCCGCTGGAGGAGAGCGGCGCGACCGGCGGCGTCCCGCGTGTCCGCTGCGGACAGAGGGGTGTCCGGCAGCGCGGCGACCGTGTCCGCGTGAACCAGTGCCGGAAACTGTCCGCGGTCCACAGGGAAGTGTTTGGTGAGGAGACGAGCGGCCTTCACACGGCGACCGGCGTCCACCTGGCGGGGAAACGGGGAAACTCAGACGCGACGAAAACAGAACACTACCGAACGCCGGGAGAATGCATGGTGTAAAACAACATAGCGTCTAGGGGGAGACTTATCAGAGATGGCCCTGTTTCCACACCCTGGATCCATTGTAAGCACAATATGAGCCAAGGCTATGGGATCTCTGAGTCTATGAGAGATAACTGTCTCAAAACATCAGACATCACACTAGTCATCCACGGCACGAAAGCGGCCAGGCACCACCCACACTTCCACCCTCTCAAATCTCACCTCCGTATCATCGCAGAGCTGCCTGAACTCCTCGACCACCTGGTCGGCCGTCAGTCCCTCTCCATCCTCCTCAATGTACCGCCTCAGCTGGAGCAGCACCGCCGACAGCGCGCGCAGGTCACACGTATCCTTCCTGCCACGCAGCGCCGCCAGGGTCTCCTGTAGGACGCTCAGTAGCACCTCATGCAATGGCGCCACCTCGTCCAGCGGGAATACACGCATAATTCGGCGTATTGCCGATAGATGGCAGCCTTCGACCACCATCTGGGTTCGCAGGGCGGCCAGGCGGGCCGACTCGCCCCGGGTCTGGTCAAACAGCCGAGCGAACCTGCCGGGAAGAAGGGAAAGGGGTTGAGCTGATGTACCACATGAGCACAGTTTTGATGTGCTATCAGGGCAACGATCAAACACGACCTCACAGAGCAAAGACTGATTGCCGAAAAAGTAACTTTTGGAAAATGAAGTGCCAGCACAGAATTTCTTTGCAGTTTGCAGTTAGAGGACTTGTACAGTAAACTGAGCGTTTGGTGGTAAATGAGCCATTATCATTGAAAATGAGCCATTGAAAATTCAGCAATACATAAAGCACGAAGCTGAGAAGCACCAGGCTGACCTGAATATTATACGCTGATGATGCAAGCATGCTGATTGCTGAATGAACACGCATGTCATGAAATCATCACTCCGCACATTTTGGGCGAATCATAAGACCAGTAAAACGCCTTTTGGGCGAAGAACGAGCGAGCGAGATAGTGAGCCCTGCACGTGCGGAAGGGCGAGAGGGTGCTTCCAACGGGCTTGTGCAAAGCATCCTTCTAACCGGTCGCTAGCGGTGTGCCAAATTTGAACGCAATCGGCCCAGCCGTTCCTGAGATCTGGAAGCGGCATTCTGCACGTGCGCACGTGCAAACGGGGTCCAAAATGACTTTTGCACGGCACCCTACTAACTGGTCCACAACCGTGTACCAAATTTGAGCGCAATCGGCCCAGCCGTTCTCGAGATCTGGAAACGCCCCCTGCACGTGCGCACGGCAGTAGCACCCTAACCGCAACACATGGGAATGCATTGCCTGGTGGGTGCCTACCTGTATGCCAAGTTTCAGCGAAATCGCCACAGTAATTACCGAGCTACTGAAATGGGAACAAATTTGGCACCTCTTATTGTTGTATTTTGCACGTGCAGTGGGGGTCACTCACATAGATGAAGAGTATCCGACCTTTGGTAGAAGGGATGCAGCTACTCTATAAAAATGACCGCAAGACAATCGCTCAAGCCGCTGCTGAGATATGGGCCTCTCAAAATCATTACTTTTGCAAAACTGCTTGAACACCCTTGACTTTTCACGTGGCACGTGCCACGGCGGTCACTGAGATGTATCAAAAGTAGTCAATTACGGGGTAGAAGGGATGGGGCTACCCAACAAAAAAGACCGCAGGCCAATCGGTCCAGCGGTTGCTGAGATATAAGCCTCTAAAAAGCGTTACAGGCCGGGCCGGGCCGGGCCGGGCCGGGCCGCTCATACTGAGATTTTTCCGTTATATTGAAAAGACTCACTTCGCTCGCTGCGCTCGCTCGCTCGTAATAAAACTATGCGATTGCGGTTAGTTCAGCGCATGATACCATGATCATGTGAGCACCGAGGATGACCTTTGAGACCACCTATCAAATTAAACGCAGCGATTGCGGTAATGTGCCACGGTGCGCCATCGCCAGGCATATCAAGGCTGAAGGACCACGGGCCAACTGCCTGTCAAATTCTGTTCACAGGACGCTAACGGATTTACGTCTCAGATAAAGGATTCTGTGAATAACCAAACCGTCAAGTGCTTCCAATCATAGTTGTCCAGCAGCGCTGTCACCCGCTAATTCTTACACTTCAGAGTAGATATGTTACAGTTAGTATGCGAAATCCGTTAGTTTGCAACGCAACTAGTTTCGTTGCAAACTACCTGACCGGCCAGGTAGTTTGCAACGAAACTAGTTCCGTTGCAAACTAACTGACCGTCCAGTTAGTTTGCAAACTAACTAGTTACTAGTTAGGATGCAAACTACCTAGTTACTTTGCAACGGAACTAGGTGTGTTGCAACGGAACTAGTTGTAATGCGAAATCGACGAGGCAGTGGCTCTATTTGTCGGTTATATTCAACTTTTATGTACATTTTAGCAACGGTTGTTAAAACAAAGTTGTGTTTTTCTAACGGGTGACACTAGACATAAGACGGGTGGTCACATTTAGGATAGAAACAGTGAATTAACCGGATTCGACTACATAACGTTACGATCACTGGCGGATCCAGAGGGGGTGGCGCCCAAAATCGCTCCGCCATCCACGCAGCGCCCGAAAGCGACAAATATTTACTTATTTTGAGAACGAAACGAAAACTGAACAACTTTTATAATCAAATACTTGTTTTAGATTGCACAGCCGTGTGTAAGGATTGGAATGAAAATCCGAAAGGTTTTTGAAAAACATTTTTGGGATTATGTCTCCCGCAACGTTTAAGACCATCTTTCTGGAATCGCCAGTGATCACCATAAATGTGTAGGCATAACCCGCGCCCCACTGGAGGGGAAGGGGGCTATTCATAGCCCCCCCCTCCCATTATTCTGCAATAACTTCTAAACCGCTTGACGTATTGCCGCCAAACTTTCAGTAGGTACCTTCGGCTGCATCAATTTGACACCTTGTGTCAAAATTTGAACTTCGTGTCTTTCATAGGTCGGCCGGAAATGACGTCAGAGTGACGTCATGTTCGATTTTCAAAATTTTCAAAATTTTCAAAATTTTGTTATCTTTGAAAATTATACATATTAAAGTTCAAAATTTGTAGTTTTATCTTTTTTCAAAAACTTTTGGACTTTTCGAAAAAACGGAATAGATATGATACACATGCTTATGACTTACTCTAGCAAGTTTTAGCCAGATATCTTCAAAAATGGCCAAGTTATACGCATTATAGCAAAAATTTCCCAATTTGAAATTTTCAAATCATTTTTTTCTGTACCAATTTGACATTGTACACCAATATAAACAGCACCATCGTGTTCCTGAGCTCCAACTGCATCCGATAGACATGTTTTTCGTTGAAAAATTTCAACTTAAAAAATTTGACCTTTTTTGACCTGAAAGTGACCTGACCTCAGCTATATTCAGATGAAAATGGCCTCAACTGACACAGGCGACACCGAATTCGAAATCTATGGCCTAAATGGACCATAAAACATGTGTCACGTGACCGACTTATGTCAAGATTTCCATGACCTATGATGTCCTGACCCTGACCTGAAAATCAAAGTACAAGTTTGGTACCCTCAGAGTATCTAAAGCATCTGTTCACGAGTGTGTAAACCAAACATCAGCCTGATCTGACTTGTGAGACGGCAGCCAGAGCCCAAAAGGTGAACAAGCCAAATATCGATAATTTTTACTTTGACCTGACCTGTGACGATATCGGTGACCTCGAGGTCAATGAGATTTGTTTTCGATCGACAGTTTTTCCGGGGCTATCAGATGCCGTTTGAATATTGACGATCGGCCTAGTAGTTTCGGAGTAAGGAGGGGGGTCTATGAATAGCCCCCCCCGCCCCCCCCCCCCCAGTAGGGCGTGTTATACACAGACCCCAGTGGGGCGCGGGATAAGCGGAAAGTAAAGGTCCTGCTGCCGATTTCGGAATATTCCAGAACCGAGTCGCTGACGAGCTCCTACCTCCACAACCGATCAGTCTGTGACGCAACCTGCCCTTTGATCATTGGCTGTTACCGAATGACCCGGCACCGCTAGGTCACCTGGCTAGGCAAGTCGCAGTAGGAGTCGGCCGGTGAGACAGATTCTTGATCGCACGCTTACCCCGGATCACGGGACAATGTGGGACATTACGGTTCAGTTCTCTTCTGTGCGGCGGCGGTGGTGACTGGTGTTAGTGGGTGTCTAAAAAAATCAAAATCGTAAAATGCCCCCCGGAACTGCCCCTCCTCTGGATCCGCCAATGATCGTCACATTATGTAGTCGAAACTGTTTCAATTTCATCCATAAATGTGACCACCCGTCCTACACGTATGTCTAGTGTCACCCGTTAGAAAAACACAGCTTTGTTTTAACAACCGTTGCTAAAATTTACATAAAAGATGAATATAAACGACAAATAGAGCCACTGCCTCGTCAATTTCGCATTACAACTAGTTCCGTTGCAACACACCTAGTTCCGTTGCAAAGTAACTAGGTAGTTTGCATCCTAACTAGTTAGTTTGCAAACTAACTGGACGGTCAGTTAGTTTGCAACGGAACTAGTTTCGTTGCAAACTACCTGGCCGGTCAGGTAGTTTGCAACGAAACTAGTTGCGTTGCAAACTAACGGATTTCGCATACTAACTGTAACAGATACATACATTCCAAGAACAACTTTGGCTAGAATCTCCCAAGCTCCATAATCCTGTTCACCCTTCATAGCACAAATCCAATCAACAGAAGAAGGATAAAACGCTCATCCCGCTATTATCACTCTTGAGAGCTGTACTCCATATTGTCAATCATCGGAGCCCAGTCACTACGACAGTTCTCAGAACCCTCAATAGACTACAGCTCGGTCACCAAGAGATCACTAACCGTCCCTGAGAGCCACCGTCGCATAGTGGACATTGACCAGCAGTGGTGCAACATAGGTCGTAAATGGGAGGGGAAGGGAGGTGTATCAGTGCGTCACCAGGGGGTAGGGACACGCAGATGGAGGGGTCGCGGGGATCCGACCGAGAGTCGGGGTTTGTCACAAAAGTACAAAGCACTTCAGAGTTCGGAGCGTTACCACCGCTCTGATGGAGCTGGTAGTTCGTGTGGGGTCCGTGGGGTCACTTTACAGGAGCCGACCACCGAGACGCCGAGGCTTAGGCGGAGAATGTAGCCACCTAATCGGTCACAAATTTTCAACAACTGGCATGGATTACCGAAATTAATATCAAAGTAGTTTCGGCCCATGCCAGTACTTCAAACTAAAATGCAAATATTCAAGCATTAATGTAAGAGGCAAAGCTGTGGAAATTTTCACAACTTGGGACTTAGGACTATCAAAAAGGTATGGCGATACCCTAAAGTTTCAAGCACAAGTTATGAAACTCATCCGACATGGAAACATCACCCGATATGAGATACCCGGCATTTCTCACTACCCCTTGACCTACTGGCATCAAGTATCTACTCTACTATCAACACGGATACCGCTCCTTAACGACAAGCATTAATTGACGAAAGGGAACACCCTGTCAGCGTCGTAGCTTGAACTACTGAAAAATCTTTCCTCAACCATAGACAAGCCTCCCATTGCCTGGATAGACCCTCCCCTGGCCGAGGATAACGCCTTCCCAGACCGTGGAGAGAACCTCTCTTGACTGTGGTTAAGGTTTCCACCGACCGTGAATAGACCATGCACTGACCGTGGATAGGTAAGGCCCCTCTGAACTTGGCTATCTAACTTTGACCCTGGATATCCTAATCCAACCCTGGCCCTGATATCCCAACCCTCCCCTGGCCATCAGCCGACTGGTCCCTGACCCTGAATAGTCCCTTTCCTGACCATGAACAGATCCTTCTCTGGCAGTGCTCCTCTGTCGCCGCCGCTGCGCGGTCACGCAGCCGGGACTCCGATAAGAGTCGCGCTGGTCGGTGGCCCACCGCGGCCTGCCTCAGTGTCCTGTGGTCAGAGTCACCATGAGGTCCCTCCTCCTGCTGCTCCTGATCGCCCTGAGCGCGGCGGCCGCCGAGAATGTCGGCGGAACCGCTGGGGCTTCCTCCGGCTCTGGAGAAGCCTCCTCTGCCGCTGCAGGTGCCGCAGAGGAGTCCAGCGATGCGCCCTACATGGTAGTCTGCTACTACGGTAGCTGGGCGGTGTACCGCTGGGGAGACGGACAGGTAGATGTGGAGGACATTGACCCCCTGCTCTGCACCCATCTCATCTACACCTTCGCCGGACTGGACGCCAGAACCCACGAGATCATCTCACTGGATGAGTACAATGATTTCTATGAGAACTGGGGTCGTGGAGCGTACGAGCGCTTCGTCGGACTGAAGAGGCGCAACCCGTCGCTGAAGACCCTGCTGGCCATCGGTGGATGGAATGAAGGATCAGAGAAGTACTCTGAGATGGCTGCAGTTCCAGAGCACCGAAAAATATTCGTGAAGAGTTGTGTCGAGTTCCTGCACCGGTTCGGCTTCGACGGTCTTGATCTCGACTGGGAGTATCCCTCCCAGCGCGGTGGAAACAACCAGACCGACCGCGAAAACTTCAGCCACTTGGTGCGCGAGCTGAGCGACGCCTTCATCCCGGAGAGTCTGCTTCTGACAGCGGCAGTGTCTGGCTCGAAAGCCATCATCGACGAGGGCTACAGCATGGCGGCGCTGGCCGAGTATCTCGATATCCTCAACGTGATGTCGTACGACTACCACGGTCCGTGGGACCCGTTCACCGGTCATGTCGCCCCGATGTACATCTCGCCGCTGGACCAGGAGCATGGCGATGGATACGAGTACTACTCTGTCAACTACACGATTCATCACTTCCTGGCCGGCGGAGTGCCTGCGCGTAAGATTGCCCTCGGTCTGCCCATCTACGGTCAGGGTTTCACGCTGTCCGACCCGACTCAGACCGGCCTGTATGCTCCGGCCCCGCAGCCCATGAGCGCCTGTCGCTACACGGGCACCTCCGGCTTCTGTGGGTTCGCCGAGATCTGTGTGATGCTGCAGGACGGAGGCTGGACCACGGTGACGGACCCCGATCAGCATGCCGTCTACAGCTACAAGGGGGACGTCTGGGTGGGCTATGACGACCTGACCTCTGTCACGCGTAAGGCGAGCCTGGTGCGTGAGCTAGGCCTGGGCGGCGCCATGGTCTGGAGTGTCGAGACCGATGATCTGCATGAACTGTGCAACATGGGAGCGAAGTATCCATTCATGACGGCTCTCTGGACCAACCTCAACGGTGACATCCCGAACCCGCCTACCCTGCCCCCGCCCACCACGGGTAACCCCACCACCACCCGGCTCACCACTCGACCCTCTACCGCTGCTCCCACCGCCGCCCCCACTCCTGCCCCTACCGCCGGCCCTTCCCCCGCCCCTACCGCCGCTCCCACCGATAGCCCGACCACCAGTGAGCCGACGCACATCTGCCAGCACCAGGGCCTGAACCCCGACCCGACACAGCAGTGTTCGCCCATCTTCTACGAGTGTGAGGATGTGGGCGGCATGTGGCGAGTAACAGAGATGGAGTGCGCCGGGGGTCTGGTGTTTGACACGGTCAACAGCGCCTGCGCCTGGCCACAGCTGGTCGAGGGCTGTCATTGAATGAGACACGGGGTTTGCTGTTTTGAGTTCAATGACATACTGAGTGTGTAAATAAGTTATATGTGAGACGAAAATCTAACAATGAATTTTAGAAGATAGGTATCACTTTTTGTCGAGAGATGTGGTAGCAGATCAGAACGATAAAAAATGGCGAACAACCATCGGTAGCTGAAATAATCGCAGCTCAAAGCATCATGTGTTGCATGTGTGCCGACTGAATACATTGCTTATTTTTATCATTCCTCCGTGTTGCTTGTGAAATAAATGGATGGTTAAAAGACATGGCGTGGCAAAATGCTAAAACAAAGGGGACGCGGTAGATGCCCCCTTCATCAACACAGCAATCTCGAGTTTCAAACTACCTTGGTAAAGAGGTCTGGCAAATATTTAACTTCATTACACCCTAGCCTCAGGTCGTTGCCATACTGTCCTCATCTGACATACCAGAGTCCATATAACACCGTCTATATCACACATCCCCTTTCCACCCAATGACTCACCTGTAGACATCATCGTCGGCCGACTCCAGCAGCTCAGTGTACGAGTCCCACTCCAGGTACTCCATGTGCTCCATCCACCCGTCCAGCCTCTCCGTCACCGGACTCCAGTCCTCCTCTGGACTCCTATCACCTGCCCTCTTCTTCAGAAAGGCAGCCAACTCCTGCCGTGCCGCCAGCGACATTTTGAGCGCCGAGTCGCTGAAGAGCAGGCGCGCCGCACAGCGCTCGAAGTCAGCCGGCGCCAGGGAGTCCAGTCTCCGCCGCTGGGCCTCCAGGGTTTGTAGGCGCGGTGCGGCGGCTCGCTCGGCGGCTGATGCGATCCACGCAGCGGCCACGGCAGAGCCGGTGAGGGCCGGGTTACCGAGACGTGGCGCCAGGTCCTCGAGCGATTCCACGTTTTCCGCAGAGACCGCGGAGGCGAGTTCAGTGGCCAACTGGTCCCCGTCGGCTTTCAGTAGCCGGTCTAAGTCAGCTCCCGTGCCGCGGAGCAGATGTAACAGGGTGACCCGAGCCGTTACTTCATCAGTAGCGGACGGGTCAGCGCGAACCAGTAGTGTAAGACAGCTCAGCAGTCGTTCGTGGTCTGTGCCGGCCAGTGATGGAAGCACACGCTCCCTTAGCGCGGTCGCCAGTGCCTCTGGTTCATGCAGCGCTTGTTCGGCTAGTTTCCTCCGCTTTAGTCGTTCCGGGACCTCATCAGCCGCCAGCTCTGGCGCCGAGAACAGATAGACAATCTGTTCTCGAGCCATCTCTGCCGCCGGAACACCATAGCGTTGCGCCAGCCGGTCGGCGGTCTCCAGAGCCGAGTCCTCGTCGGTCATAGCCAAACCGAGAATCGTATCTCGCTGGTAGGCCGGCTCGGTGGCGAAGCGACTCACGTCCACGCCTCGATCCAATCGCAGAAGCTGACGCGCCTGGCGGGCGTCCTCTAGCCTGTCGCAGAGCTGACTCAGAAGCTGCCGTAGCTCTACCGTGTCCTCGCTATCCGGCTCACCGCGCTCTAGACCGGCTGTGATGAGCTCCTGTGGCGGCGCTGTTAGAAGGTCCACCTCCCCACGGCGAGCTGCCAGTCGCAGAGCCACGCAGTAGGCGGCGGCGCGGAGCGAGAGCTCAGCCGGCGGCCAGCTCTCACAGCAGGCGCGCAGATCGCTGTCCGGTAGCGTCAGACTCCAGGCTAGAGCCAGACCTGTGTCCTCAGCCAGAAGCAGCGGCAGAAGGGGTCGCAGTCGCTCCTCAGTTGGAGCCTCCGGCTGGCGTGACTCCACCGCCGCCTGGAGAGCCTCCAGTCGCACAGCCGCCAGCGCCAGTTCCAGCGCCAGCGGCGGCCGCGGCGCGGAGAACGAACGGTAGTCGACGTCCATCGCGCTGTCGTGACATCCAGGCACTGTGTCGGCCAGGAAGGCAGGCGCGCCGGGCCGCAGCAGTGCCGCGTTAGCCGACACGACATCCCGGCCGCGGTCCGCGCGCTCACCCGGTGCCAGTCGAGAGACGGTGCTGCGGAGAAGGTTCGCTGTGGCACTGCCGGCGTTCAGAAGGTCCGCCGGTAGCTGACCGGCGACCAGAGCACGTGTTCCGTCGTGGGTGGCCTGTAGCACGGCACGAGTTCTCTCCGAGGTCGCCTGAAACACTGCGCGCGTGGTGCTAGCCGTGGCACGAACGATGTGGTCGGTCAGACCACGCGTGCTGCGCAACAGAGACACCGGATTGAAGTCAGACTCGTCGACAGGAGCCGCCGAAGGTTCCTCCAAGGCCAGAGAGAAGCCACTGGTCGGGGAAGCTCCTCCATCGCTCGGAGACGCCTGTCCATCTCCTGGAGAGCGAGTCCCGACAGCAGTCTCTGGCTCCTCTCCAACATCGCCAGTCGCCGCCTCCTCCCCTGGTGGGGGCTGTCGGTCTCCATCGGCGCCGAAGTACTCCTCACTGTCTATCTCATCCTGCGCCGTCTTCTGTCCCGTCTCCCGTGCCGCCTCCTCACCCTCTCCGGGCGGGCGGACTCCGTCCCTCTCTCTTCCATTCTCCGTCCCTCTCCCTTCCTCCCACTCTGGACTGGAGGCCTTGCTAGCGGAACTGTCCGGGGTGGTGGCCAGTTTCTCCAGTTTGACGCAGAGCTGAGCTGCCAGCAGCTGCTGCCGCAGCCGCAGGAGACGCTCCAGCTCAGCGGCAGGACAGTGGAGCAGAGAGAACGACAGCAGAGCCAACCTGCCGAGAGAAAAAGGGAACACAGTTAAATGAAGGAATGAATGCAGAGGGCCAGGGGGGTAAGCGATAGAGATATGGAGACACTGAGAATGCGTGCTAGATGGACGAAAAAATGAAAATAACGGAGACAAAACAAGACGTGAGGTAGCATTCAAAAAGCGCTTCGGTGTGGTTGTTTTCGAATGCAATTTATCAACACCGACGGAGGACTGGAAGTGGAGCATACGCAAACCCGCCTTGCTTGAGAATAATGTTAATTTGTGTTCATTTTAAACAGCCATTGACTGGAAAGACGAATAACGTTGTTTTGCGAATAATGTCCGCTGCTTACATCAGCCTATGAAACCAAAAAGTAAAACAGACCATACATCTTTTAAGGACCCATGCCCTCTCGGAGTCTTGACACATCGAATATCTTTCGATGAAGACGGAGCAAAAAGCCAACTGCGTAATCTTGCGACACGCGATATCATTGTAACTGTCCACACATTGTCAAGTACCCCAAATTCTCCAAGTGTATGCTTTTTGATAGTCGAAGCCGGCTTGTCTGATAAGTGATCATGCGATTGAGGCAACGAAGTGCCTGCGAGCCCGGATTAACGCTGACCCCTGATCAGGCGCACTTTGGAGGACATTCGGAATTCGCGGAAACAAAACTGGGCTATCAGGAGCACCATGTGCAAGGGTCACTCTAATCGCATCACACTGTGAAGTGTGGATGCACGCAGGGTCTAAATGCAACGGACTACGGAGTGAAGACGTAACAACATAATTATGAACAATCTTCTAAAAATGGCCTGTTCCAATGCGAAGACAGCATGAAGCAGCGCCGAAATTTACAATAAAACGTTACTATCGGCATGTAAACATCAACTTAACAGAGAAAACAATAGTTTGGCTCGAATGAGTGCCACCAGATTTAAAAGTGAAAAGTCACTTTGGATGATTCTTTCGCGACACCCAAATTGCTTTGCTTATTTTGTTGGGTCAAGCTCGTTCAGTCTGAATCACCTGTTGTCTGGTAAAAGTGACCGCCAGCCCGGAAAGGGTAGCGACGTGTGGGGATCCAGATGAGTTTGCCCTGAGGAAGGCAGGGACGGGTGCCCCCAAACTGAAGAGTAATTTCGAAATATCATTTGTATAAGGATTATTCGAACTGAACCATTTCCTCATAAAGTATAAACAAAGCAATACACGACCGTTGGTTACCACATTTATGCAATTATTTGGGGCAACGGTTATCAAAGCAGAATGCATTAATTATGCTGCAACCGTCAACCACATCAAGTTACAGTGCAGTGTGTATACTACCACTTATCTATCGTCAAAGTTACGGTAGCCGTCATACTCAGCCACCTGACGGCACACGTCCCAGGCTGTAGTGTGTCCTCCGTCCATCAGATGGCGGCAGGCTCGCGCGGCAGCAGCCGGGTCGCCGGCCGTCAGCGCCCGCTCAGCAGTCAGCTGCAGCAGCCGCCAGCTCTCCGGCACGCGCAGCAGCTCGGCCAGCTTCAGAAGCTCCTGGTCGTGGCTGAACACAAGGAGTCGGGTAGGAGAACGTCAGAAAACGGGACACGGGACATCGTAGGCATTAAACAGTAGCAAAAAGGCAAATTCAAGTTCGTGCCTTGCCTTTACCACCCTTTTAAAGCATATTTTCACAACTTGCACTGAGAATAATAAAGCATAAGACAACAAAGATAAGTGAGAGATCAGAGATGCACCAAAGACGCATCAAATAGTTCAACTATCCCTCAGATATCCAGCCGTCGTCACAGGCAACGCAGGGTCGCCACTCGCCTGTATAAAAAGCTGGCGATCTATTTTCCACCCCGCCTCCCACCCCGAACAGCAAAGCAGCGGGATATTATCTACCACCCCGCTCACATATCTCCCTTAGGGCCTTGAACCTCCTTTCTTCACCATTCCCTATAACCCACCGGTAGGCGTCCGGTTTGGCGTCCAGACAGCGTTTCAGCAGGCTGAGCCGGTCGGCGGTGAGCCGCACCTGGACCGGCAGAAGGGTCACCCCGAACCGGACCAGGTAGTCGAGACTCTCCACCAGACCCAGCTCGCGGCGCACCGGCTCCGGAGGGTCGCGGATCAGCTGAAATTGGGGGAGGGAGGGTAATGGATCAGCTGGAGATGAGGGAGGGAGAGTCATGCCTGAGGAGCTTAAAACGAGGGGGAACGGATCAGTTGCTGGAAATGGCGGAGGGAGGGCTATGAGCCAAATGCAAACGGCGGAGGAATGGTTGCGGCCCAGCTGGATATGGCACAAGGACGATCACGGAACACAAAAACGGCGGATGACGGGCATATCGAATCAACCTGAAAATAAGTGACAACAGAGCTGAGCAATGGGCGAAGATAACTCATTACGAACAGCCAGAGCTCTGTCCCCCCCCCCCCCATACAACTAACGTGTTAAAAAATGGCAAGCAGACCACCCTGCGAATTCACACTGACCTGTAGGCACTGTTTGGCCAATTTGATGCCCGGATCTGCCAGGTTCGCCGATCCGTCAAAGTACTCGCTGG